TTGGCTTAACATTTGAAAATCAGTGTAATTTACCTTATTGACAAATAAAAGAAGAAAAATCACATGATTATCTTAACAGATGCAGAAAAAGCATCTGACAAAAATCCAACATCCATTCCTGATACAAATTCTCAGCAACCTAGGATATGAAGGAAACTACCTGATAAAGGGTATTTATGAAAAAACTTATAATATCATACTTAACAGGGGAAGACTGAATACCTTCCCATTCACTTCCCAAAAGATCAAGAAAAGATAAGACCTACTCTCATCATTTCTATTCCACACTGTACTGGAGGGTCCAGTCAGTACAACAAGGCAAAAACAAAAACGAACAAACAAAACAAATAAAAGGCATCCAAAATTGGGAAGGAAGAAATTAAACTTTTTATTTGCATGACTATGTAGAAAATCTGGTGAAATCTGCTAAAAAGCTATTACAACTAACAAGAGAGTTTAGTAGGGTGGCATGACACAAGATCAACATACAACAATCAGTAGTATGTCTATAAATTAGCAACAAACAATTGTGATTTGAAATTGAAAAAGAATGCCATTTACATACATATATGCAAGAATAGATCAGCTAAATATGTGCAAGAATTATACACTGAAAACCAAAAAACTATGTTCAGAGAAATTAAAGCTGACCTAAATAAATGGAGAAATATGTCATGTTAATGAGTCAGATGACTGAACATTGTTAACATGTCAATTCTCCCCAAACTGATTTGTGGATTCAAGGGAATACCAACTGGAATTCTAGCAGGGTTTGTTGGACAAATTGACAAGCTTATTCTAAAATTCATGTGGACATACAAAAAGACCGGGAACAGCTAAACCAGCTTTAAAAAAGGACAAAGTTGGAGGACGAATAATACCTGATTCCAAGACATATTATAAAACATCAGTAATCAAGGCAGTGTGTTAGTGATGTAACGACAGAGCAGTAGACCAACGGATCAGAACAGAGTCCAGAAACAGAGCCACACACATACTGACGATTGATTTTCAATGAAGTGGCAAAGGCCATTCAGTTGAGGCAGGACTCTTCTTTCAACAAATGGTGCTGGAACGACTGGATATCCAAATACAAACCCAACCCAACCCAACCAAACCCAACCCTCTGATCCAAACCTCATACCACATACAAAATTTAACATAAAACAGATCGTAGAGTTAAATATAGAACAGGAAGTTATAAAACTTTTACAAGAAAACATAGGACAATACCTTTGTGACTTTGGGCAAAGATTTCTTAGATACTGTACTAAAGCATAATTTATAAAAGAAAAGAACTGATAAACTGGACTTCATCAAAGTTAAAGTTTGCTCTTGGAAAGCCACTGTTAAGAAAGAGAATGAAAAGACAAAACAGAGACTGGGAGGAAATACCTGCAAATCATGTATCCGATAAAGAACAAATTTAGAATATATAAAGAACATTGTCATGTCACACCCCTGATAATGGGTAGTTTTGGTTTCAAAAATGGCAGGTGAGGAGAGTGAGAAAAAGGATGGAAAATGGATAATGAAAGTAAAAACTTAAAAACATAGTTGCAAGTAACAGGGTATTTTAGGGGAAAAAAGGTAAACTACATCCTTCTCATGAAGAGAAGAAGAAATTGAAGGAGTCTGGAGTAAATTATTATAAAGATGTAAAAATACATACAGTGGGGGAGTGATAGGATAGTTGGAATGAACTCTTACGGCTACACTATATTAAGAAGAGATTTCATTCATTCATTCAGTTCACATTCGAGTGTTTATAAGTAAAGGACTTTAATATGATTGACCAGCTGTATCAACTTCTCTCTGACCAATGTTGTTAATGAAATAAAGCACTCTATGTTTAAAAAAATCCAGCAAACTCAAGACAGAATATATTAGTAACTAGGGAACTAGCTTCATTACAAACTCTGATTTGGGCAGCAGATAATAACATCACAGGGACATGAGGTACAAAAGGTGAAAGTTTAAGACTTTCAGGAAAATGCCTTTGTTAAATTAACCTACAGAAGTTTCTTCACGATTGCCTTAAAAAGAAAGTATAGCTTTACTAAAATGTGTATATACTGTATGCACAGAAGTGATCGACATTTCTAAAAAAAAAGAACAAACACAACAAGAAATTCAAGGGGCAAGTGGTAGGAGGCAGTCCTATGTGGCTCATTACATGTTTTGGTCAACCCACTACTAAGCAGGTGCTGCAAACTGAATGGCAAGGCTGCAAAGAAACAAATCAGCTTCTGTCCATTTACTTGGCCACAATGGACTCAGGTCAATAAAGTAGATAAAGAAATGACTTCTCTGTATTTCCACCTTCAACTCGCCTACAGTTTTCAAGTCATGAGAAACGTATCTTAATTCATCCTTACTTCTAAGAAATTATGAGCTCAGGGAAAGCCCAAAGCTTCAGATAAACCTGAATCTAGACATATCTGAACTTCTCATGAAAATTTATTTTCAGAAGCTTCATAAGTGCTCTACGTTCAAAAGGAGAAGCCAAGTGACCTCAACAGCCTCTGGAAGCTGGGATGTCTCGGGGGGCTTTTTTGAACTTTAACCTGGAGAGCATGGCATGGATCTCTGGATCACCTGGAAGCAGACATCCAGTGCAGTCAGAGTGACTGCAGTCTTTCATTTGCAAATTAGGCAAAAAGTTCTAAACATTTTTCTGAAACACGTTCAAAGACATGGACAGTATTGTTCCCATAATGTATCAAATATGGTCATTTTTGGTTGTTGAAACAGTCTGTCCTCATTGCTCCAGTCTATCTTTTCATATGTGTAATCTGTCACTGAGTACAACCTCCTTAGGCTCAGTGATCGTATTAACAACTATTACGTAAAATTTCAACTGTTCAGAGATTGGAACTGAAAACACACCTGGCAGATACAACAAAAAGAGAAAAAAGGAAAGACCTGGGATGTGTGTTTGCACCTTCCGACAGGCAGAGGGACAGCACGGACAGGACAGTGGATTAGGCAAGACAGGACCTGTGTCCTGGGCTGGGTCTGCCACCTCCTAGCTGCAGTGATTTGCCACAGGTCATAGGCTCTGGGATCTGGTTTCTCCACATGTAAAAGGCCTGCATGTCTCCCAGGGAAATGGTGAGAATCAAACCTGATAATGTGGGTGGCAGGGCTCTGAAGTGACACAGGATATATATTGTTATATACTCATCAATAGTTTTATCTCTGAAAAAGAAAGATTTTTAAACTTACACAAAATGGTATCTTACCAAGGAGCCTCAGAACACTGCATACAGTTTACAAACACACACACACACTCAGTAGTGTGGGAACAGAAGGCTGAGGTCTTGGTCCGAGTGCTGACATAATGTGCCCTGTGAACTCGGCACAACCCTCTCCCTTACTTTCCTCGACTCCAAACAGAGGAGATCCAGAAAGAATGTCTACAGCATCTTCTAGGTCATGATTCTGTGACTTTTTTAAATACAACTTAAAAATTGTGTTTGTCTTTCATCTGTACAGTGAAATATTATCTTGTGAAATAATGCATGATTTTATTTGATAATTCCTATAAATTAGACTGCCATCTAAATCAGAGTTTTTGAATGGGAAGAGACATATTATTCTCCAAAGCGTACAGCATGGTGTGCTTGAACAAACACTCTCCTGAAGGAAGCTCATCAGGCTCGTGTGTGTGCACATGTATGCAGGCGTGCTCTCCTGTGTGGGGTGATGGCAGGACAGGTGGGCACAGCCAGTGTGAAGGCACAAGTGACAGCTCGCTAGTGAGGTGGGAATAAGAAGGTTGAGCTTAAAATTAGGTACAAAATGATCTTCAATGATAAAAATGGAGAAATATTTTGGGAAGGTTTTTGATGATATAACTTTTTTTGAGGTAAAAGAGGGATTTTCTATTTATGGATTAAGTGACATAGCAAGCACCAAATAAAAATACAAAATCTTCCTAGAGATCTTTTAAAATGAATACGTCAAAATAAATTGCTCAAATACATTAGGCATTTCTAGAAAACATATAATGATAACATTCTGGTTATTAATTTTTTTTCTTTAATGCATCAAAATAGGCATTTCATAATTTTTTACCATATTACCTACTTGTTTTCAGTTAATGTCATTTCAAAATGTTACTCAAACAAAAATAAATGATAAAAAGTGTCTATAAAAACAAAAATTTAGTGTAACATTCTTATTTATTATTTCTTATAACTTTGTAATACACATACATATAATGTTGTAATACATATTTCAACCACTAAAAAATTCTCCTTAAACTAGAACCCGCATACACTGGTGGTGGGAATGCAAATCGGCTCAGCCACTATGGAAACCAGTATGGAGATGCCTCAAACAACTAAAAATAGAAATACCATATGACCCAGCTATCCCACTACTGGGTATCTACTCATCAACTTGAAATCAACAATCCAAAGTAACATATGTAGCCCTATGTTCATTGCACCATCATTCACAATAGCCAAGACATGGAAGCAACCCAACTGCCCCTCGACTGATGATTGGATAAAGAAGATGTGGTGCATATATATACAATGGAATACTATTCGGCCATAAAAAAGACAAAATCATCCCATTTGCAACAACATGGATGGACCTGGAGGGAGTTATGCTAAGTGAAATAAGCCTGACTGAGAAAGATAAACACTACATGATTTCACTCATATGTGGAATATCAACATACACATGGACAAAGAAAACAGTTCAGTGGTTCCCAGGGGAAGGGGGATAGGAGGCAGGCGTAGGGGGTGAAGGGGAGCACTTATGTGGTGACAGTCAAGAAATAACGCACGACTGAAATTTCACATCGATGTAAACTATTATGAACTCAATTAAAAAAAATTCTCCTTAAACTAGCTAAACTCTTTCAAAAATCAATTATCTGAAATTTAACTTACAGTATGATGTTATGAAAAGGGAAATGGAGAAAATGTCCTTAAAAAAATACCCAAATATTTATCAGTCCAAATTATTTAGGAGAAGTTGCTTACTGTGTCATAGACTCTGAGCCCAGTCTGAAATCCTGGGACTTGTCCTTAATGACTGACTGTTGGGAAAGAAGAAGAAAAACAAACCATAAGTCAAAAATTAGAGAAGACGACACAGGCAGTATTCACATGCTGAAAACCCACCACTTGCTGAGTGAGGAGGGAGCACGCCTCTTCTGAACTGAGTGTCTGCCAGCACAGTGTATCCACTCCTCTGGAGACCAAGGGAGGCGATCTCCAGATCGCTCAGCACGCTACCAGGTCAGCTTTCAGGTGTGCGGCAAAGAGAGTTGTGAATCACCCTAAATCAGTCTAGTAACACTATATGGCATATTACTTAAGTTCTAAATTTATCTTTCAAGACTGCATCTTTCCTTTGTCATCTTTTCAGCATACTCTATTTTCATAGTGATAGTCACTGAACTATGCGTAAAATTTTCACTGTGCAAGCTCTTCAAATCTTTCACAAAATTTGCTCAGTATTATGTTTTATTAACGGCACCTCTAGGAGAAAAACTAATAAGCACTTTAGTGGGGCCAGATTATATCGAATGTTAGACGGTCCCTCTAGAATTTGAACATTAACTCCAAATGAAAGAACACTGTGGGGAATGGTGTTTGATGTAAGACATCAACCCACTGTTGTTACAAAACAGACTGCAAATGTTTTTTAGAGACAATTACACGTTATGGAAAGGATTCATTTAAAATTCACACAGAAAATATACATTGTTAGCATGTTAAAGTTTTGAATTACATACAAACGAAATCTACCCAATTGTTTAAATTAAAAAACCCCCTCAGAAAACAAAAAACCAAACTGAAGTGAAAGAAAAGGATACACCCTTCTCTTTCAGTCGTAACTTGTTTAGTAACTACTGCCTTCTCAGTCTTATCTCTGCTGAAGCCGGTTTTGCCTTTTTAGATTTCCTCTCTCACAATCAGATTTCTGCAAGATCATTCTTCAGCAGGATTTGGCATTGAATGTCTTTAAACAAGTATTACTTTTATTATCATAAAGATTTCAAGAGGATATTGTACTTCTCTGGACCATAGTTATGTGAAATTGCTAGCTGGATAGGTTTAACTCAAGCATGTAATAAAAACAAGAATTAAAGAACGCGGAGACTTGGTGGTGAAAGGTGGATATGCAGCAGTAAGTGACCCAGTTTCACAGACAACAAAAGAACCAATAACGCTTTGATTTTTCCCTACCAGTGAAGATGATCTGACTCAGTTAAGATGTGTTTAGGGGAAAAAGTACAAACACAGGGAAAATTCAAATTTAAGGACTAATTGAGATTTCAGAATAGTCTAGCTGCCTTCAACCCAAGAGATGAAGAAGGAAAGAAAACCATCAAAACCTAACTCAGAAAGCATCAAGCATAACCGAATTTCTTCAGTTTTTTCCCCCCAGACTTAGAAAATAAATTCTAAACACAGCAATCAAACTAAAGGTAAGATGTGTTATGCGTTATGTAGTCTAAGTATTACTTCTATGTCTTTGCCCATGGCAAGACCAGCATCTTACCACAAATATATGTACACTCATGCATCACTTAACATTGACATGTGTTCTGAGAAGTGCGTCGTCATTAGGTGATTTTGTCATTGTGTGCACATCACAGAGTGCACTTACACAAACCTAGATGGTATAGCCCACTACACACCTAGGCTCTATGGTACCAATCTTGTGGGACCACCATCGTTTCCATGGTCCGTCGTCGACTGAACAGTCATTATGTGGTGCATGACCGTACCTATATAAAACTTTGTAAAACTACTAGATTATGAAAAAACTCAACATAATGGCTCTAATCAGAATTTGAATATAGTCCAGAGGTTGAGGGGGGAGAAGTGAGACTGAATTATACATCACTGTTAAGTCAATGTTACTGTTAATCATTTGTTGTGATCCTGACAAATGAGTAACAACATATTGCCACGTGCAGGTCTTACCAAATCTACTTTTATTATTTTGTTCATGTGAAATAGATGCTGTGATGTCCCCAGAAAGTTTTTCGTAAGCAGGCTACATCGGCCCTGCCATCTTATCTTCTGTATTACTGCAATACCGTACCTGGCATATCCAAGTCCTTTTTCATGATGCAAAGGTAGCTTAACCTGTGTTCATAGCCTATGAATCCTAAATTAGTAGGGTATCGACATTACAAAGTTTTAATATTTATTTGTAAAAGGACACTTATTTAATTAGGACCAATACTTCACTTCTAAACACCTTTACTCACTCATTCCTTGGTCTCAGCAGCAGCACGCCATATGGGTAGTTACTCATGGAGGCAGAAGGAGGGGGAAGAAGGAGGTGTCTCTGTGAGCTGTTTTGTTTCATTTTATCTTTCAACAAAAAAGCCCCCAAGTCTACAATACAATCAGCCCATAAGCACCCCCCACCATCAACAAGGCCAAGGAGCATTACCGCCCTTCTTTCCCTCCTGTCCACACACACCTCTCAGACAGCTGTTTTGTGACCTTGTTTCCTCTTCATGGATGCCCTTGATTTGGAGAGGAGGGATGAAGAGAGGAAGATGAGCAAAGCAGAGGAGATGAATGAAAGGACCAGAATCTAGAGACTTCTGCTTCCCAAACCCTCACAACTTCTTAGTGATGCTTTTAAATTTAGATGCGGTGGGACAAACATGAAAGGAACGATTAATGGAATGATTTTAAGTGCCTCCACTGAATACGTGGAGTTTTACCAAGAAGAAAACAACTCATAAACAGCTTTGTAAGAGATAAATGGGACATGCAAACAACTCACCCAAATATTTCTATAAACTTGAATTATGAATGTAACATTAGGTACGCGTTCAATCAATGTTTGTTGTAGCTAGCACATCAGCTCTAAATAAGGCAAATTTATGATACAGCGTAGCTCTATTTTATGTGCTGTTGATATACCTCCTGATATCTACCTTTTCCATATAAATTAATACCTATAATTTGTTTTACCCACTTTGCAGGAATTTTTTAAAAACCCCAAGAGCCAGGGTTGGTGATTAAATTCTGGTCTTGGTTCTGTCATTAACTCTTTATGTGGCCTAAGCCACTTAACTTCTCTTGGGGTCTGTTTATTACTCGCAAACGAACAGGAGGGGCTCAGAATAAAAGCGACTGTCACAGCACCATGCTTGTATTTTGCAGATGAGGAAATGGAGGCCCAGAGTCACCAGGGTCACAGAAGTAGCCTGAAGGTTGCAATCCTGTTTTTCAAACTGATTTGACAGCAAAATTATTTTTCAATACCATTTTGTTTGAAAGCCTCATACACAAAGACTCGAAAGTAGAACCACTCTAGTGAAGCTGGGTTGGGCAGCCTGGCAAACCTTGCCTCTCCAGCCTCATCCTCCACGGCCCCAAGGAATAGGGCTCCACAGAGGAGAGTTTACAAACCACTGGAGCAGACAAGCTCTTGCAGGTTTCCTCTATTGCTAAAGTTCTCTTTCCAGGAGCACAATTTTACAATTTTAAATATTCATATAAGTTTGGTGTTGATTCTTTTAGAATTTATTAATAATTATGTGAGCTGTATTTGACTCCAAATCCTCCAATTTTAATGCTTTTCCTTAAGGACAAATATTCCTCTGCATTAAAATGCATCTTCTACAAGTATATTAAAACAAAACGTGAAGGCCTTCATCTTGATTCATGATGTGTAGGTTTGGATGCTAAGTGTGCCAATTAAAAACAACACCGGCAAATACCTACGGAGCACCAACAAATGCTCCGGAGCAGCGGCAAACACTCATGGACCACCAGCAAACACTTAGAGAGCACCACTCTGCATGGAAGGCACTATGCTGGGTGCCCTGGGGAGACAAAGCTGAGGAGGCTCTCAGAGCTCCTAATCTAATGTGGACAGGTACGGCTACAGCCCACAAGGCAGAAGAAGATGGACATTGTGATAAAGGTAAAGGGAGATGTGAGGAAGTAAAGGAACAGAAGCCTTGAACTCGAACTGGAGGCTTGTGAGGACTCACAGAGGAGCGGGCATTTAGCTAGATCTTAAGGGATAAACTGAAATTCTGACAGTTGGAGAAGCACAAAAAACTACACAGTGCAAGAAAACAGTGAGCAGAGGTTGGAGGGATGGGTCTGCAGGGCTGCAGACCCAGGAGGGTGCTTTGAAGATGAGGAAAAGCAGGTCCACACTTCTGTTCAGTCTCTGAGGGGTGGGACCTAGAGGATAACTGACAAGATCTGGACTTTACAGACATGTAGAGCCAACTGAGAGCTCTGAGCTGGTAAGTCACATGACTGGATTTCCATTTTAGGAAGGTCTCTCCAGTAGGCAGGTCAAAAGTACATCACAGACAGGAGAAGGGAGAACGGAGACTGCGAGACCAGGGGCTGCTTCATAGCAATGACCTCCCCAAGCTCCTGCCCCTCAGTTCACTCTTGAAACGCCTGGCAACCCGAATGCCTCTTCCCTCTGTCCTGTCACCCTTCACCACAACCCTCACAGGGATTCAACCAGCAAGTCTGTGGTAATGACTTCCAACCACACCCTGGACCCAGATCTACAGTTTTCTTCAAAATGATGTGGCCATCGTTAGTTTTCAGCAAATCTCCCCGGAGCCCCACAGCTGCCTCACAGTGAAGCTCTTACGTTCTACACACTGAGATGTTCAAACCAGAAGCTGAGATTTCTCCTTTTCCTTCACGTGGCTTTAGTCACCACATCCTAGTTTCTTCTATGTTTGGGTTGGATTACTGCACACCCTCCTAGTCTTATTTCTTCTAGTACTGCTTTTTCCCAGTCTTTTCAGAGATCCTACAATGAGCTTTTGAAACAACCAACTTGATCATATCATCCTCCATGCTTTAAACCCTTTGATGACTCCCCACCAGCTTCAGGATAAAATCCACCTCCTTGACACATGACACAAAGACCTTCTTGATCCTGTCCACTTGCTCAGGGTCAGCTCTCTCTCTCTTTACCTTTGTCCGGTCGTGATGAAGAATTTGTGGTGGCCCAAGTGGACCGTGCCTTACTGTGTATCTATTCAGTTGGCCCGGGGGCCCCTCCTCCCATAAAACT